CGCTCTGCTCTGCCTTTTTGGGGGGGTCAGCATTGCATCCTGGAACGCGCTGGACGTGTTGACCGTTGAACTCTACCCCTCGGACAAGAGGTAGTTGGAGTGTCATGGGAGCAGGGTAGCCATGTTTAGGGCCTACAGGGCAGGGGGGAGGTGGGGTAAGGAGGCGGGAAATCATCTTGAGGGTTAAAAGTGCACGCATTCCCCTTGAGTTTCTCCTCTAAGGGCTGGTGACTTTTGTATTTGCTCCTTGAAGTCTTAACCATTAATCTAATTTTTTGGTCTTCTTTTCTCCTTGTCGCCCAATCTATATTCCCTGATCTTTCTCTCCTTCCTCTCCTTTGTGGATACTGCCTGCCATCTCTCCTCCACTTTCTCACCCACTCACCCATCCCCCACGCTTCCTCCTCATCTCTTTTTCGTGCTGCCCCGGGGGACCTCTGAGCAGGACCACAGCCTTCGGCTTCCTGAATGCCCTCTGTAAGCTGGCAGCTGTGCTGGGGATCAGCATCTTCACATCCTTTGTGGGGATCACCAAGGCTGCCCCCATCCTGTTCGCCTCAGCTGCCCTTGCCCTTGGTAGTTCTCTGGCCCTGAAGTTGCCTGAGACCCGGGGGCAGGTGCTGCAGTGAGAGGGCCGCAGGGGTTCAGAGGATGGCAGGCACACTGTGAGAGCAATGGCTCCTCCTTCACCCTCCCTGCCCTGCCATCCTGGGCCCGGGACCCTCGCTCCCCATTCCCCTGTGTTCTGTGTCTAGGCCGTGTGTGTGCGCGCGTGTCTGCATGTGTGTGACCCCGTAGGCAGGAGCTCCAGGGAAGGCTTCTTCATCCTAGTTGTGGGATGCAGCTCTACTCCCCATCTCCTACCCCCATTGACTTTGCACAAGAGAAAGCTTGGCCTTACCCTTCTTCCCAGTGTTAGCTAGGGGCCTAGCTCCTCCTGGCTCTAGGAGCTCCAGAACAGGCCTCCTGCCCTTCCCCTCATCCCTCTGCCTAGGCCCTTGTGAAACCACAGGCATGTGGTTATGCTGGGGGCTGGGGCTCGGTGGCATCTAGGGACCAAAAGAACTTCTTAGAGTTGGAAGGGCCTCAGGTGCCCTCTCACATCTGTTGGATGCAGGGGGAGTAGCAATAAACCTCAGCCCCCTGGCCTCCACTTTCCCCTCAATCTGGGCTACAGGTAAGAAGCCTGAATTTTATGAAATTAGCTTTCTGATTCTTATTTATTTATATATTAAGTTCTGAGGCAGCTCTGCAGGACTGTGTGTGTGGATGCATGTGTAACACTTATGTGTGTGTATGTGCCATGGGGTGGGGTGTCACTATGCTGTCCTCAGATACCAGCCACAGGTCATCTCAGTTGACACACACACTGCCCTGCCTCCCATAGCCCCTCCCTTGATCTTGTTTCTGTGCCAGGCCTGGGAGGGAGGAGCCCTAGGCCAGGTGAGGATGAGTCCCACAGTCTAGACAGATCTGACCACACATGACAAGGTCCATCTCCTCCCCTCCTCTCAAGAAGCACAGGCCTCTGGAGTGAGAGGCTCCACCCACTATAGCACAGACAGGGACAGCACAGCTGCCCTCCCACCCTTGGTCTGTACCCCCACAGGCAGAGCAGCAGGGGAGGGAGAGAAATCAGGCCTACCCCCACAGGCAGAGCAGCAGGGGAGGGAGTGAAATCAGGCCTAAGGTAAAACCAGCAGATTAAAAAGCACAAGGGGCAGAATGTAGGGGCCCTCCCAGCAACTCCTCTGAAGTGGGAAGAGGTTGGGCAATAAGCCAGGGACCCCTCATGCGGAATCAGAAGCCTCAGTTTCCCCATCTCACCCTTCTATGTGAGAGGCCCCTGTAGTTAAGCTGCCCTTGCCTCACCCCACTGTGTGGCTGCTTTCTTTGGTGCCCTCCTGCTCCCCACCCCACCCCCCACCGTAGCTGTGATATGTTGTAGTTTTTAGCTGTTTGTAAAATGTTAAAAAAAAAAAATGAAAAAAAAAAAGTGAAAACAACAATAAAAAAAGAAAATCCAAATTCACCCTCCTCATGCTTCATCTGGCGCCCCCACCCTATGGTCACTCCTCCCATTTTGTAACACTGAAGGGGGGGCGCTGTTTAACTCTTTGGTATCTGTGCTCAAAGGATTGCCTTCTCCAGTGTCCAGTGTATGAGTGTGTACCCCCTTTCCTCACCCTTCATTTGCTGGACGCAACCTTCTCCCCTGTGCCCCCCGCCCCCCAGAGGGATCCATCCATCTCTCCTGCTCTCCTGGGGAACCCCCCTAAGCCCAACTCTGTTGATGTGAAAAATGAAATGAAAAATATTGATGAAAAATAAAAAGGAAATAAATCCTTAAAATCCAAGATGGCTATGCCTGCTTCTTTGCCTCCCCATCTACATCCAACTCTGTTCTGCCTGCTGGGAGAGGAAGACAGTGAGATGGAAATATTATTCCTCTTTCCCCAAACTGAAAGCCAGAATAATATGATGTACCACATTTCTTTCAATTGGCCTCTCTATCCTTTTTTCCTGACCTTTATCCTGACCTCCTCGTCTCCCAAATTTGAAAAGTTGGGGTAATGTCCTACAACTTGCTAGCAAAAAAAACTGGTAACTGATTTAAAAAGGGAGCTAAAGACTTGAATAGACATTTCTCCAAAAAGACAACGTACAAATAGCCAACAAGTCTATATAAAAAACGCTCAATAGCACTAACCATCAGAGAAAACTCAAGTCAAAACCACAATGAGACATCTCTTCACATCTATCCATCAGGATGGCTTTTACCAAAAAACCACTCACCCCTCAAATCTAAGCAAAATAAAAAACAATGGTGTTGGTGGAGATGTAGAGAAGTTGGAACACTTGCACATTGTTGGTGGGAATGCAGAATGGTGCAGCTGCTATGTGGAAGAGTATGGAGGTTCCTCAAAAAAAATAAAATAAATAAAAATAGAATTATGTGATCCAGCAATCTCACTTCTGGATATTTATCAAAAGAATTGAAATGAGGATTGGCAACATTAGCACTCCCATGTTCACTGCAGCACTACTGGAAATAGCTAATGTGGCAACAACCTAAATGTCCATTGGCAGATGAGCTGGTAATAGAATGCTAGTCAGCTTTTAGAAAAGATGGAAATTCTGCAATATGTGATGACATGGATGAACCATGAGGACATTAAGTTAAAAAAGCTGGGTACAGAAACACAAAGACCAAATGAATGATTCCACTAGTTATCAAAGATAGTCAAATTCGTAGAATCAGAGTAGAATAATGGTTGTCAGGGGCAGGGGAGAAAAAGAAATGGGGATTTGATTATTAAATCAAAGGGCATAAACTATCATTTAAGCAAGGTGAATAAGCCCTAGAGATGTGTATGACTTTTTACCCATAGTCAATTATAATGCATCGTGCCCTTAAAAATTTAAGGGGCGCCTCGGTGGTTCAGTCAGCTAAGTATCTGCTTTCAGCATAGGTCATGATCTCAAGGTCCTGAGATTGAGCTCTAGAGTCAGGCTCCCTCCTCAACAAGGAGTCTGCTTGTCCCTCTCCCTCTGCCCACTCCGGACTCATGTGCATGTGCACAGCCTCTCAAATACATAAGTAAAATCTTTAAAAACAAATTTGGAAGTGTTTCTTGAGATTAGAGCCAGTTTTCTTCCAAATCCTCTCATGTGTCTTTTAAATATATGGGTTCCAGATTCCATTCTTGTGGAATCGGAATTTTTTTTGGGGGGGGGGCGGGGAGGGAAGAGTGGAGTTCTAGAATCCACATTTGAAACAAGCTTCCATAGGAATTCTTATCTGTGAGATCTGGAAACCGCTGCCTAGGGATTATACTGGACTCCCCCCTCATTCACAGTTAGTTCTAACCAAGCCATTTTCTGACTTTTTATGGTAGCTTTCAATTTCCATTCCTACAGCTGACTTTGAAGTCAGGATCCCATCTTCACTCTTGATCTCTGTGCCTCCAATCTTCTATGCCAACTCACACATCACTGCCTGATCCATTTACCCCAAAATGCTCTTTGGTATGTCCTTCCGCAAAACTCTTCAATGACTTCCTCTTGTCCAATCAGATGCAGTCTCAACTATAGCTCAAAATGATCAAGATATATTTTCAACTTTTTTTTTAGTATCTAGATTCTATTGCCACATTAAGGTCACCAAAGTTGTTTATCTAGACATCACTTGAGCTCCAGTCAGAAATACAACTTTAGAAGGCTCGTAAGACAAAGGGCCATCTAAAGTTCTTTTCTTCTTCTATACTCATTTTCCATGTTATTATCTTTTCACTGCATTCGTGTGTTCTGGTTTTTCCTTTGTTTTGTTAAGGATTTTTCTAAGAAAAAAAGTCAAATCCTTTTGGAAACTGATAGGCTGACAGAAAGACAAACACTCCCCCAGTATGAAATTCAAGTGTGTCTGTAACTCCAATCACTGGTGAGACTGTCTAGTCCAGCTTCTATGCCTTTGCTAAGGCTCTTCCCCCTACCTGTAACATCTTTCCTCTCCTTTCTGGTTTAATTCTATGCTTTCCCTTAAAGATTACTTTCATCACTCCCCCCAGTGAAGCCCTTCACGACTACTCTAGGCTATAGGTATCTTTCTTCTCCTCAGAACAACTGATTCAACAGGCCATTGGCCACACAAAGCAGTCCATCTCCTGTGATAATTTCTTTTTTAATGTACAGGATGATTTCCAACTTATCAGGTCTGGTAGTTCCTCAGTCACATTTTTTTTTTTTTTAAGTGATGTGGCCATATTTTTTTTTAATTTGCATTTAAAAAAATTTATATTCAATTTGCCAACATATATCTTAGTCACAATTTAACATGAAACGCCCAGGCAGCTTTTCCTAAATAGATCAGGGCAAGGGGGGTGGAGAGTGATTCTACTCTTTGCTTGGATAGCTTTGATCTAAACTGAGTCATGTCCAGAGAGTAGTATGTACGCGCTGGTTGAATGGGACCTCTCATCGCTTACAAACACCAGACCATATTGGCAGAAAGCCCATAGTTTATTCCCAGACAAACCATTAGAATCCTGGCCTTCCCTCCTTTGGGGCTCAGGGGGTTCCCCGAGTTTTCTTGTTCCCACCCAGGCAAGGGGGGCTGATGTCTAGTTGAGGATTTTCCTTCCACTGGGCGGGGGTCCGTGTCTGTATGGCCAGTGCGTGCACCGGCCCAGCCAGCTCCTCAGACAGGGCGGCGTGGACCAGCCGGTGCCGTTGTAAGGGGCTCAGTCCTTCAAAGCGAGAGCTCACCACCGCCACGCGGAAATGCGTCTCGCTGCCTGGTGGGACCGCATGGGCGTCGCTCTCGTTGCGCAGCTCCAACACCTCGGGGTTCAAGGCCTGCTCCAACTTTGTGCGAATGGCTGCCTCGACGGGACCGATGGTTCCCAGTCCCGCGCTGCTCCGGGACAGGCAGACGCGACCTGCCATGAAGAACAGGTGCCGGACCAGCTGCCCACTCAGCATCGGCTACAGCGGAGAACAGGCGCAGAGCACTGAGGGCCGGGGTCTCCCGCCCCCTCCCACCCCCTCCCACCTCCTACCTCCTCCCACAGGCATGCTCCGCTCCCGCAGGGGGCCCGCCTCCACTGCAGACACCACCCCTTTCTTCTGTGTGACGTGGGGGGAATTCGGCCTAGGCCGCGGAGGGCTGACGCGCGACTGGAAGGGGCCCGCGGAGGAGAGTTAGCAGCGAGTGGGCTGGGGACTGCAAAGGCAGGGTACGTGCAACTCCGCGTCTGTGGCCAAGCCGTGTCCCCTCTGAACCCCAGGCCGGGCATTTTCTACCTTCCGCTCAGCCTCGGCTACCGCAGGCGCGGGTCAGTCACCGGACCCCAGAAGTTCTCGGAGAGTAAGGTCGTAGTCGCATCCTGAGGCACTCTGGGAAATGGAGTCCTCGCTACGCGATAGTAGAATGGGCAGACGCCACGTGAGGGCTCACGGGAACTGTAGTCTATCATTTTGGCGACTCGTGCTGTTAGGTTCTGAAGCAGGGAGATGCAAAAAATCCGGGAATTCCTGCTCATTTGGGACTGCTGTTATTTGATAGATTTTATTGTCATCGAGCTGAACTCATTTATTTTACATACAAGAAAATTGGAAGCTCGTTCCACTTACTGCATACAGAATTTCTGTGCACAGACCAGTCCTGGAAGATGGGGAATAAGTTAGGGCCAGTCCTCGGGAAGTTTAGAGGATGACCTGAGCCAAAATCAAGAGTCAGACACTTAACCAACTGAGCCACCCAGGAGCTCCTACATTCAATATGTTCTAAATGTGTTATGTCAGAGTACCTGGGTGGCTCAGTTGGTTAAGCATTTGCCTTCAGCTCAGGTCATGATCCCAGAGTCCTGGGATTGAGCCCAGTGTTGGGCTCCCTGCTCAGTGGGGTGTCTGCTTCTCCCTTTCTCTCTCCCTCTGCCTCTACCCTTTTTCATGCTTGCTCTCCACTAAATAAATAAAATCTTAAAAAAAATAAATGTGTTATGTCAAGATCAGTTTTGGCACACCCGGGTGTTCAATTAAATGTATTGGATGGATATATGAACTATTGTATGAAAAGAGGGCCAGTGGCATTATTATTTCTGTTGCAGAAATAAATAAAAGCTTTGTAAATTACAAACTCCATAGAGCAAACTTAGAGTCTTTGCTTCTAATAAAAACATAGTCATAATACCTACAATGTAGTGAAGGTTTGTCACAGCCAGATTGAGACTTTTAGAGACTTTAAACACCAAGATTATGGTGGCCACCTCATGTGTAATTAAAACAAAAAACAATAAACACTAATCTGTGACATGAGGATTGGGAGGTCCAACAACATACTAATTTTCCCCCCATGATGATTAAGATTTATTCATGGAAGACTTAGTTTGTGCTTATTGATGTATGTATACTTTACACATAAGGAATTTACAAATCTTTAGTGTACAGTTTAATTCTACTTATGATACAACACGTCAAGAGACAGAAAATTTCCAGCACCTTGAAGGCTCCAGGGAAGTCAATACCACCCTGCCACAGGTAACCATTATTCTAATTTCTATCACCATAATTAGTTTTACCCATTTTTAAACTTCATATAAAAAGAATCACATAGCATGAATTCATTTTGCTTGCATTATTTTGTTCAACATTGTGAGATTCATCCATGTGCATAGCAGCAATTTGCTCATTTTCTTTGTTTGTAGTACGGCAGTATATGAACATACCACATTCTGGTACATGCTTTTTGTTGCATGCAAACATTCATTTCTGTTTGCTTATATCCAGAAGTGGAATTGCTAGGTTATCTGATAAACCCAATGTTTATTTTTGAAATGACAAATTGGTTCAAAGAATTTTTGGTACTGTGTACTGTTCTAAATGTTTTACATTTATGAACTCTTAATTTTTACAACAACCCCATGAAGTAGCTACTATTATTACTTTTGCTTTACCAGTGAGGAAGCAGAGACCCTTAGAGGTTAGGTAATTTGCCCATGGTCACAGATCTGGTAAATAATGCAGAGGCAGGCTGTAGAATTTGGCCTTTTAACCATTAAGCTATTTGGCCTCAATACAGCTTTAGGCCCTCTCAGGTTCCAGGCTCTGTACTAGGTTCTTTACATTTATTCTCATTTATTCTAACAACTCTAATGTGGTTGGATATATTATTTTTGTTTAATCAACAAGCTTTTAGTATATCTCCCATCACTCTGGCTATCACAGTCTACTGTTTATACTTGGCATTTGGAGAGTGGTTGTTGAGTAAAGAGAAATATTTTTGAAAAGAAGACACTAATTCCCTAAGAGTGTTATGCCATTTATTCATGCCCCAAACATTTAATTACCCTATGAAGAGCCAGGTAGAAGGAATTAAGGACTCAGATTCAAAAAGACATGGTCTGTCTCCTGAGGGGGTCACGGAAAGGATGCGAGAGCAAAGTCCAAGCATGGTACAGAGTGGTAAGTGCTATCACCAGGATTTGAACAGAGAGGTGGGCATATGGAGGCTGTGTGGGTAGTGGAAAGGAAGACTTCATGAAGGAGCAGGTGATTTCTGGGCAGAACCAGCCGGATGAGGAGGATTCTGCTAGCTCAAGAGGAGGACGAAGCTTCTTGCCAAAGGCCACAGTATGTGCAATGGCAGGTAACTGTGGAAAGGCCTTTCCTGAATGGTGTGTAGCTCAGTATGGAGGAGGCTGAGGGTCATGGTGAGAGAGGTGGAGGGACAGGGCAAGAGAGAGGACTATGGTTAGAGTGGTGGAATGGGGTGAGAAGGCAAAATAAATGCTTGATTGACAAGATTGCCTGGGAAGGAACTCAGTTGCCTTTTTGTTAAAGGAAATAAGATCCAGCCTATTTGTCTGTGATAGTGCACTACTTTTAGGGATGGCCTGCTCTATTTCATGTTTTAACACTTCTGGTAAGAATGCTGGGAAAAGAGCTTGGGGGAGCAATAGATAGTAATTGAGTCTCATATAATTTGTAGGATAATGGCCTATCTAGACTTATCTAATAGGGTTTTATAGCTGGATTGAATCTAAACTACTAAATCTAATTTTCTCTCATTCTCTTTTTCTCTTTAATAGAGGAAGAAAGGGAAGCTGTACAAGTTAAGTGGCTTCATGAAGCCCAACATCTGGTGAGTAAAGCAGTGTGAATGAAGTGGTGAAGTGCACAATTTTTGAGTCAGGCAGACCTGAGTTCTAATCATGTCTTAGTAAATGGCTGTGTCACCTTCACCAAGTGCTTTAGCTTCTCTGAGTCTCACTTTCCTTATCTATATATAACACAAATAATTGCATCTGCATCATAGCCCCTAGCATAGGGTTTATCACATAATAAGGTTCCATATCATCTCTTTGTCCTTCACCTTTCCTAACAGCACAGGGTCACTGTGATAGAAGTAAAAAGGAGGTCAAAGAGAGGGGGAGGTCAGCTGTGCCCTCAAGCAGGGCCACTCAAGGTGACAGATTTGTAGTGGGGTCCCCATTATCTTGGGTTTCAGCCTCGGTCTGAAAAGTTAACACTATCAGAACTTCCAGAGTTGGGGCACCTGGGTGGCTCAGTGGTTGAGCATCTGCCTTTGGCTCAGGTTGTGATCCTGGGGTCCTCTGTTCAAGTTCTGCATCAGGTTCCCCAGAAGGAGCCTGCTTCTCCCTCTGCCTATGTCTCTGCCTCTCTCTCTATGCCTCTCATGAATAAATAAAATATTTAAAAAAAAAAAAAAAAGAACTTCCAGAGTGGACTGGCTTATTGGGGAGAGAATCACGGAAAAAAACAAAGCAAAACAAAACAAAACACCAGAAATTTATGAATAGCCTAGAATGTAATTTCATTCCCCTCTAGTGATGTATCTTCTCATAATTGCCTCATCCCTTCTCAGTCTCATATTTTTATCTTGTAGAATAACTGGAAAGTGGTTGAGCCTAGAATATGAGCTGAGTGTTAGTCTTTAGAACTATTTCACCCAGGTTGTGAGAAAAAGCTAATGTTTTCACAACCAAGGACCCTTCTATAATAGCCCAAACCTTTGTGTCTAGCAGACATAATATACATGCTTAATGCTGAAGAAACAACACATTCCTACTGGAATTGCCCTGTTTTGACTCTGTGTGGACCACATCTTTCTATTAACACATGCATCTTCTGAAATGATATAGCTGATTGAGTTAGAATTACCTTCACAAATCTATACCAGCGTTCTTACCAGGGATCTCTACAGATAGTTGATATTAACTGCCAGAGTTTAGATTTTCTCTATTTTCTAGTTTTCAGCTACCGGTATACCCATTGCCTGGTAGGTAGCCTGTATTTAATAAAGGTGAAGATAAAGAATATCAGAAATGAGCTCAAGGAATAAAATTTAAGTCTATTCTTTTTTCTATTGTATTCTACCTCCTGTCCTTATGGGATACTCAGGAGAGGGTGCAAATGGTGTGAGGGATGTGGAACACCCCAGAGTGGGAAGCTGAGGAGGAAGAAATAAAACTTTCAGGAAAGGTTTCTCTAGAAGGAAGTTGGAAGATTAAGGAAAACAGGTCTGCAGGGCTACTGCTGAAGTCTAAGAGAGCAATGAGGAGGCAGACAGGAGCACGGAGAAAAGGCTGAAGAAACCTTACGGAAGTAACCGGATATGCTGTTGAGATGCAGGTGGGTGTAGATTCTGGCTTAGGTTGTAATTCTGGGAAAGAGAGCAAACGGGCGACAGGGGGTTGTTTGGGTGAGTTCGCATTTGGATAGGTCGAATTGTTGGGACAGATGGTTTGAAGTTCCCAGTAAGCAGTTGGTGTAAGGATCTAAGCTTCTGGAACAAATCTGGATGTCTGTAATTTAAAGCATGGAAGTGGGAAGACTCCTCGGGAAGAGTAAAGGATGGAGGGGGGTGTTGGATAGGAGACAGAGCCCAGACGGACGCGGGAAAGCGGGGACCGATAGAGGAAAAGGACCGGGAGGAGTAAAGTCGGAGGACATTTTGCAAGCCCAGGGAGCATATTTCAAGGCGGTATCGGATGCCTCCTGTAGGTCAAGAGGAAGAAGACAAATCTATTCCAGTCCTCGGTTACGCAGGATTCCGAAGAGCGGAGGCGGCTGGGGGTGGGGCGAAGCCGCACCGAAGGCCACGACGACCACGTAGCAGAGAAGGCAGGCGGCCTTAGGAACAGTTTTTTGGAAGTCTGGCTGTAAAGACAGAAAAGGCGGGACTTGGAAAGTAATTTAAAGTTCAAGGGGATAATCAGTTTCAGAATCCCTACCCTTGAGCGGGAGCAACTCTACATCTCCTGGAGACCCTCTGCAGGCCGTCTGGGTACTTCTGAGGATTTCCCTTCCAGCTCCAAACTGGGGGGGGGGGGGAAGAGGCCCCCATCCCCTTCTTTAGGCTGAAAATAAAAAAAAATGCCATTCAGTAAAAGGCAAAACAAAACAGCGTTCTGTCCGAAACGGTTCTTTCTTTAAAAATCCTGGCATGCAAATAAGGGGCTTTAATGTGGCTCCCAGCGATTGGTAGGTACTTTCGGAATCCGTCATTTCCTCGCAGTGCAGGATGCAAACGGAGTCTGCTTTCTGCTTCCCTATTGGCTGCTTGATTGGGCTACTTCCCTTCACCCCTCCCGGTAATTCTTATAAATTACACCAAATTGGTTATCCGTTCCACTTCCTTCTCCTTGAATAAGAAGCTGTAACTGCATTTTTGGCTGTAATGTCAGGACGCGGAAAGCAGGGAGGCAAGGCCCGCGCCAAGGCCAAGTCGCGCTCGTCCCGCGCCGGCCTGCAGTTCCCGGTGGGCCGGGTGCACCGGCTGCTCCGCAAGGGCAACTACGCCGAGCGGGTGGGGGCCGGCGCCCCGGTATACCTGGCCGCGGTGCTGGAGTATCTGACGGCCGAGATTCTGGAGCTGGCGGGCAACGCGGCCCGCGACAACAAAAAGACGCGCATCATCCCTCGCCATTTGCAGCTGGCCGTGAGAAATGACGAAGAGCTCAACAAGTTACTCGGGGGTGTCACCATTGCCCAGGGCGGCGTCCTGCCCAATATCCAGGCGGTCTTGTTACCTAAGAAAACGGAGAGTCACAAGCCTGGCAAGAACAAGTAACTGGGATTGAGAGCATCCCCACTAACCCCAAAGGCTCTTTTAAGAGCCACCAACCATGTCAATTGAGGGGCTGGTAACGAAATAGCGCCATTAGCTCTTTTTTTGAAAGATTAGGTGGCTCTAAAAAGAGCCTTTGATCTTTGGCTTGTCAGGACTTATTTACTTTTGGCTTTGTGGCTTTCAGTTTTCTTTGGTAAGAGAACGGCCTGGATGTTGGGCAGGACGCCGCCCTGGGCGATGGTGACCTTGCCCAGCAGCTTGTTGAGCTCCTCGTCGTTGCGGATGGCCAGCTGCAGGTGGCGGGGGATGATGCGCGTCTTCTTGTTGTCGCGGGCCGCGTTGCCCGCCAGCTCCAGAATCTCGGCCGTCAGGTACTCCAGCACGGCCGCCATGTAGACGGGAGCGCCGGCCCCCACCCGCTCGGCATAGTTGCCCTTGCGCAGCAGCCGGTGCACCCGGCCCACTGGGAACTGCAGGCCGGCGCGGGACGAGCGCGACTTAGCCTTGGCGCGGGCCTTGCCTCCTTGCTTACCACGACCAGACATGGTTGCTAGCGAAGTTAAAACACCTAAAGCCCAGACCTGACAACAAAACAGCAGCGAAAGATGAGCGATGGAAAAGCCTTTATAAGCTTTGCTAGGGGTGGGGTCAGGAACGAGGTTTTCATTGGTCCTAAATTGGCTCCAGAACCGGCCAATGAGGCCAAGAGTAGGTATTGTGACGTAGCTGTTGCTGATAACGCAAGGTCCCCACAAGGCCCAATGGAAACGAAAGGTTTTAGGAGCCCTTATTTGCATACGGTGGTTATAAAAGGCTCAGGCCCGCCCATTCTCGCACTTCCTTTCTTCCCCAACGCGTGTGCTCCTCTACAATGCCCGAGCCGGCAAAATCCGCTCCCGCGCCCAAGAAGGGCTCGAAAAAGGCGGTCACCAAAGCCCAAAAGAAGGACGGCAAGAAGCGCAAGCGCAGCCGCAAGGAGAGCTACTCCATCTACGTGTACAAGGTGCTGAAGCAGGTGCACCCCGACACCGGCATCTCGTCCAAGGCCATGGGCATCATGAACTCGTTCGTCAACGACATCTTCGAGCGCATCGCCGGCGAGGCTTCCCGCCTGGCGCATTACAACAAGCGCTCCACCATCACCTCCCGGGAGATCCAGACGGCCGTGCGCCTGCTGCTGCCCGGCGAGCTGGCCAAGCACGCCGTGTCCGAGGGCACCAAGGCCGTCACCAAGTACACCAGCTCCAAGTGAGTCCCTGCCGGGACGCGGCGCCCGCCGGGGTCGCCGGCCGCCTGACTCCAAAGGCTCTTTTCAGAGCCACCCACCTAATCACCTGAAAAGAGCTTTGTTCACTTATTTTACCCTTCACTTTCTTCTCACAAAGTAAGTTTCTTGTGGAAGGTGGAAGGCAGTACGCGGAGCTTTTTAAGCCATTCATACTTGGAGATTCCTGGCGCGTAACTGGCTTTGCTTTCTAATCTGGGTCGCGTCTTAACCCCGTAACTGCTGCTTAGTTCTCCTACAAACTCCTTCGAATTGGGATATTGAAAATCTCCCCACCTCCCGTCGCCGGACTATTGTGTCCTGGCGGCTCTGGGGCGGACGTCTCACTGGTGTTCTAAATCAAATTGGGTGACTTTGGTCGTCCTTTAAGAAAGGATCCAGTACAGCTAAGCCCGGGTCCCGGGAACGTTGCGTCGAGCCCCGAAGAATTCTGAGCGTGCGGCAGCCGCCTGGCGCGGTCACCGCCTCTGCGGCGCGGCGCGGCCTCCTGTGGACCCAGCGGTGTGGGCGCCGGGGGTGGGGCCTGCGCTCGACTCCCAGCCTCTTCGTGATTGGACGGTATGAATATTCAAAATCTGGCGCCGGCCCCCGAAGTCGTGGATTCTGGTGTCCGCCGAACCCTCTGAAGCTTTGAAATCCCTATTCTCGGTTTGTGGATCGTTTTTGCATTTAATTCTCTTGGAACGCTCGGGCCTCCGGTCACTCTAAGGCGCTGGTTCATTTAATTCTGGGCTCAAAAGTCACCTCTCAGACCTTCTTCCCAAGTCGCACTCAGGAATTTGCGTCTCTTGTTCCTGCCTGTCATCTGGTCTCCCTGTTCTCTTCCTCCTAGGAGCTGTCAGAAACTGGTTCGTTTTTTTCTAATTTGATTTTCTTAAGCCCTTAACCTTGCTGGTCAGATTTTCTGCAATATTGTCAGCGCCAATCCGTGCCTGGCACATAGCGGACACTTAACTACTTATTGAAATTTGTCGAATTAATTTTCTCGCGCCATCCTTTTCTTAATAGCTTCCGTGGATTGGGCGGGTGTCGTTCATTTCCATTAGATACATCTGAAGACCTGAAAATGGAAATGTTTTTGGAGCTCTCTGGCCAAATCCGTCCGTGGTCCCCTCAGAGCAATAGCTCTGAGAAGGCCCGGGTTGAGACTCTTTGTGCACCCAAATGGAGGTGGCAGTGGTGGGTTCTCCCTTCCTTTACACTTCTTAGTGTAGTGTACCCTCTTTTGGATTTTCATTAAATTAGAGCATTGGTCACTGGAAAGATCCTTTTCCCATCTCCTTTTCTGACACTCCCCATCTCCATCCTGATCCTCTGCCCCCCACGGAGATGAGCTTTTAATTTATATTCACTTTCTCACTTATCAGGAGGTCCTGAAGAGATAGACCCTGATTAATAACCCTTTTACAAAAGAGGTTGAGAAAAGCAAAGGGGTTGGTTCACTGCTCATGAGCTAATACTGTCCACCTTTGTATCCTCAAATGCTCAATTGCATTTTAGTTTTATTTTGTGTGATTACAGAATGTTCAGTCTTTCTGTCCAAGCCTTGATTTTGCTGATGAAGACACTGATGGTCTGATCAGTTATTCAACTGCTTTTGGCTCTTGGGTCCTGGAGTTGATCCTAAGGGTTTCATGAATCCAAATGGATGCCAGGCATTATCATAAACTGAATAAATCTTATGTTTCTTACATGTGTGTTTTCAAATGTGTGTAGATGCTATTGTTATTAATAAAACAACTGATTATTTTAGAAGTGTGGCTGGATTCTTTTTATCTGCAATATATTTTCTCATTAAGTGAAGTTAACAGATGCAATCACTGCTGCATCTGTGAAAAAGCTCGTTGCCTCTGACTTGGAGGATGAATGTTTGTAAGCCATTGGCCAAACTTACTTCTACCCAAGAGGTGCACTGAGACTGAAGTAATTTGTTATGAGGTTACTGTTAATGCCTAGTCATTTAGAAAGAAATGATCACAAATAACAAGCCTTATAAACAAAAGAGAAGAAATAAAGTCCTTAAGAAAGCTTAGCTAATATCTATAGAGCACTTGCTATGGACCAATGTTCCAGGCCCTTCACACACATTAACTCATTTAATCCTAAGAACCTCATGAAATAGTCACCGTTATTATCTCCTATTTTATAGATGAAGAAACTGAGGCACAGAGAGGCTTCTCCTTAGAAACTCCAGAGAATAAACCCCTAGTTCAGGGTTTAAGGGACTTGAGAAAATTAAGATCAATCTCTGAAAATCTGGACCCCTCCTTGGAGTTTGGGGGGAATCTATCTAGGCTTTAAAATTAAAATTAAAAGGAATAATCACCTGCTTTATTCTCTTTAGGATGCATCCTGTATATAAATCTATGGTGGTAGTAGCGGAAATCCTTGGAGATAAAATTGGGGGGCTCTGGTTCTCCATCTGTTTCTCCATCCCAGAGGCCATACCTCAACTTGCTTACCAGCTGGAATCCCTTCACAAATATAAGAGAGTCTTGGTTACTGGTTTCAGGCTCCAGGCATGGTATTTAGTAGGAAGGAAGTTACAGAATGGGGCAAGGGAAAGAGATGGTAGAATTTGGAATTTTAACTCCGGAGGGGAGATAATTTTTTTTTTTAAGATTTTATTTATTCATGAGAGACACACACACACACAGAGAGAAGCAGAGACACAGGCAGAGGGAGAAGCAGGCTCCATGCAGGGACCCTGATGTAGGACTCGATCCCGGATCTCCAGGATCAGGCCCTGGGCCGAAGGCAGGCACTCAACTGCTGAGCCACCCAGGGATCCCCTGGAGGGGAAATAATGGTGGTTTAGTCTTCCTAATAAAACCTCTTTGATCACTTCTTTCTCCTGCCCAAGCATCTATATACATTTGCTTATATTAGGGTTAATAACAATAATTGTTATAATAATAATTGCTTCTACTTATTGAGCACTTAACTGTTTCCATGGTCCCCTGCTGAGTGGTTTATCTGCATTGCCTCATTTTGTCTTCACAGCCACCATGGAGTAGCTTCCATTTTTACCATCCTTATTTTATAGATGAAGGAAACAGACTCTCAGAGAAGTTATATAACTTGTCCAGTATCATTGAGGAAGTAAGTGATGGAACTGCAATCCAATGTACATTTTTACAAAGCTTGATATTCCGGGGCACCTGGGTGGCTCCGTCGTTTAAGTGTCTGACTTGATTTTGGCTCAGGTCATGATGTCAGGATTGAGATCAAGCCCAGGATGCCCAGTGCAGAGCCTACTTAAGATTCTCTCTCTCTCTCTCTCTCTCTCTCTCTCTCTTTCTCTCTCTCCCCTTTCCCTCGGCTCCTCTCCACCTGTCCCTAAAAAAATAATAATAAAATAAAATAAAAAAAGAAGCTTGATATTCAAAACTCTCCCAAATCTGCCTCTTCCTCCAGTTATAGCTCTGTTTCCTACTGCTCCCCTATAGGGGTAGGTGGGTTTTCTGCTCTACTCTAAAGGGTCTGCTCACCCTCCACTAAACCCATTTGCTCAGGTCTGGACTGGACTGCCCCTTCCTTCTGCCTTGGCCAGAGCTTTCTTTCAAACCAAAGCTTTATCTTCCAGCTCAATGACACCTCTTCCCTCATCTCTCTACCCTACCTATCTGTGCTTATTTTTTAACTTTATTGTGTTATAATTGGCATACAGTAAACTGCACATATTTAAAGTATAATTTGCTAAGTTTTGACGTATATACACATATACCAACAAAAACATCACTACACTCCAAATAATGAACATATCCATCAGCCAACCCCAGAGTGTCCTAGTGCCCCTCATAACTCTTCCCTCTGCTTTATTAGAGATAGCTTGCCTTTTCTAGAGTTTTAT